GGAAACCGTTGACATTTTTTAAAGCTGAAGAATCAAAGACTTTTTTTTAATGTAAAAAATGTAAGTTTGGGCACATTTTTTTTTATTTCTCATTTTGTAACTTTTAAATTAAAAATTACTTTAATAGTTAAGCACTTAGAGTTTTAAAGGTTAAGAGTGAAAGAAAAACTGATTAAAATATGCAAGAACCGTTTTAGTTCTTACCTTTTTAATGTTTTTAGATTCATACTTTATTGACTGAACAGGAAATTAAATTGACATGTAATGTTTAAAACAATTCTCAAAAATTATTATTACGCAAGAATCTTTTTGTTCTTGTCTAAAATTAAAAATATAGGGAAATTGTTTAAAAAAAAAAAAAGCATTTTAAAAATTTGATGGGATGGAGTCCAGCCAGCGCAGGCTTTAAGCGGATGATATTTTTGTGGCTCAAACAGTGTAGGTATACAAAAGGCACGCTAGCATCCATTTTTCAGTGTCCACAGCATTTGAGAGTGGAGACAACCGCTTGATTTTTCTGGATTTTGAATCCTTATTTTAAATACTTTCCTTTTTTTTTTTTGGTTTAATCATTCAAATTTTTCACAGTTCTTAGCAACAATTTTCCTCTGTGGTCTGCCCAATTTAAAAGATGTTTTCATTTCCAGCCAAAACTGGCAAAGCAAGGCTAATCGACACGCTAATCCACTACCAGTGCATTTTTCATACGCTCGAAACCGCCCGAAAGTTGACTTGTTGGCCAGTGACGTCACCGAAAGAGATTAATTGGCCGATCGGACCATGTGACTGCAAAACACGTGATGAGAGATCGGTTGACTTTATACTCACAGTAGATGATATTCCGTGTGTTACTGATGAAAGAAGGAAACTTTCAAATTGACTTTCCCTCATCCTGCCAAATACTTGAGAACCGTAACACGCTCAACCCTCAATCTCCTTGTCCAACCGCCGAGTGCCATCCCGCCTCGTCTTTCCGCTACGCCAGCCAGGACGGGGGCAACAGGGCACCGCTAATATGCGCGCCGGGTCATTAATTCTTCACATGGCGGGCGAGTATTCTCTGATACCGAGGCGAAAAAAACGGCGGCGGGGAGGAGGCAAAGCAGATGTTTGGCTTGGCGTCGAAAACCTCAAAGGCGCGGAAGGCAACGGGCGCCTCATGCCAGGCAGCAGCTGCCCAAACACGTCCTGGCAAAGAGCAGCTCAGATTGAGCTCGCCTCTGCTTTCCATCGCGTTAGCCGTGATGTTTTGGTTACAGTGAAAACATCGAAGGCCCCGTTTCTGTTAAGGAAATTCAAAAGGGACGAGATGATTCGCAGAGCTTGAAAGTGGAAGGTGAAAGCAGACGCCGCAAAATTCGAGCATTTTGTTGTTGTCATGTGGATGGTCTCGCCTTTGAGGGTAGAGATGAGAATCTGAGACCAAAGGACATGGCCAAAAAGAAAGGAGACATTTATTTGGGTTTTTTTTTCCATTGTTGTTTTTGCCGGCCGCGGTAAAAACCTAACAATATATGCGCATACATAGACCCCAGAACAAGGACAGTTCATTTAACTCTCTCCTGCCTCTCCACTCAACTGATTTGAGTCATTCATCACCGCACACCTTCATATCTGTGTGCTGCATAGTAAGTGTGTGTGTGTTTGTGTGTGTGTGCGTGTGTGTGTGTGTCCATATATGTTCATAAATGTGTGTTTGTGTGTGTTTGGGAGAGATTATGAAAGTGACTATCTTCCACATCGTCTGCTGAATTTGTCAAAACGAGGCAGGTTGTGCTGCCCCCTGCTGAGCTTTTCGAGCATTTTTTATCCTTGTCCGCCTCTTCAATTTTTGGATGGAAGGGTGGACTCATTGATTGTTGGTAATTTATTTGTAAACTTGTGTGTAGTTGACGTTTTTCGTTTTACTTTGTTCCAATCGCATTTAACGAAAAAAAATGCGAGCTAACTACCAAGGAGGAGTCCAATTACAACCTAACAATTGATATTATGAGAGTCAAGGTTGAAGGTCCTGATAACAAAATACTAAAATTGTGACGAGTATGAATGACCAGTTTTGTTTTGTTTTTTTCCAAATCGTATTTTCAGCATATATGTATTCTTAATTGACACCAAAGTTGTTATTCTTGGAGAAGGGAGGAGTATAATACTCCAAGAATAAATACATAATTTTGATGACATTTGTGAATATGCCTTTCTCTCGCTCTTCATCAAAAATTCAGAGTGAGGTGCTTTTAAGAATCTGACTTTATTTTTGTAAAATCTAGGCTTTCCCCCCATTGACTATGGGGACCTATAATCTTTCCTTTAAATATGACTTTATTTTTGTAAAATAAGAATGTTTTTTTTTTCAGGAAAATGTGTTTGATTTTCTTCATCTATTATTGCTATAATGTGTATAATTGTGCCAAGTTTGACTTAATATGTATTATTACAGTACCTGTATACAAGGGTTTGCTGTTCCAATGTCATCCTAGATAATAGCACTATTTCTTTCCAAAGGTCCACTGGGGGTTGCATTCCTCAAACAATAACAAGCACCAACATGAATGCCTTACTTGACTCTGTGCAATACTAACGAGGCCGTCTCTCGTACAGTAACACAGTCATGAATCAGAGCAATGCCTCATGCCGAATTATCATCCGCTCATTCGTCATCTCTAATTTAGCATCAATCATGGGCAGGCACGCTAATGGGGACCAGCCTAGCCGCGGCTGTGGGGTAACCATGGTGACGTGGGTCGCACGAATACGCGAGATCTGTTATTGTGCGGGTGAGACAAGGACGCGCGGTGTGCTAATTAAAGTCTTTGGCTGCTCCTGCCTGACACACAGGTCAGAGCTCATTAGTGAGGCGCTCAATGCATCTCCAGTCGTTCATTAAGCGAGACTGTGAGGACCAAGACAGTTGCCGATTAGAGTTTGGATGTAGGAAAGAAAACCTCAAAAAAAAGGATCGGTCCATAGATATCAAAACAGAAAATATATATATTTTTTAAAAACACCCCCCCAAAATGTTTTATTTTGAAATGATTTACAAGAACAATGTCATTTTAAGTTCATGGACACAACTAAATTCAAGAGGAAAAAGAAGAGAAAATGCTGATGGAAAGAAAAGCTGAGCTTTCTCCTGGCTTTTCGGATCAACAGCCCTGAATGGACAGGCACAGAAACTCATGAAGGGCTGCAATGAGCATTTTTACTTGTTTAGTAGTCGTTTTCTTCACCGAACAGGAAGAAGAAGTTAAAAGAAGCCGCTATGAAAGGTGCAACTTGGGACTTTCCATCAGTGTTTTGGACCTAACTACAATGGAGAAAGGACAGAAAAGTTCTCAACCACGACCTCCCTGAGACTTCAGAACCACCCCAAAATCGTAAACGAGTCAAAGTCCTAAACTTGTCATTTTGGCAGTCCAATTTTAGCATGAGTTTGGTCCCGGTTCTTAAATTATTGCTGATTCTTTTCCCTCCCTGATATCTGATCAGGAAATATCGCGAGGTCACAGCCGCGTCTCTCGCGTTTGGCAGCGGCTTTGCAGGCTCTGGAAATGCGCCTCCCTCAGGATGCGGTTGATGTGCAGATAGCAGGCGGGCGGGTCGCACGAGTCACCGCAGCTGAGGGGGCTACAAGGTCCCACAGCGCAGCGGCTGCCGCTGGAGCAGCCCGACGTGTGCTCCAGACTGCTGCTGCTGGAGCTGTTGGACCACTGAAACAAAATGTACCTTGTCAATCCGGTATGCATTATGCAACAGTTGTGTCACAGCTACTGAGCCTTTCGTCTCTGCCCATTTTTTTTCCTTTTCACATTTGATGTCCCTCACGGATAAAAGAACTGGTGTGCATGTGGCCAGCTTTAGTAGAGAGTCAATTTTTAAGTGTACCTCTGAATCCCAGGCATCCCGTCCCGGCTCGGGGGAGAGCGGGTGAGATTGGTTCGGCCGTTTGGCTTGAGGAACCAGGTGGCCGCTCTCATCACCACCACTGTGCTGCCTTTTCCTGTGGAACAAACAAACATACACCAACAGTTCTATGAACTCAGTATGCTAAAATACATTAACACCAGCTTTACAGATGCCAGATCCATAGGGTGACACTAAAAATATTACACAAGAGCTTTTCAAGTCCTCAATTCGCTACCCTTAAACATCAGCTTTATAGATTACACGTATCTGTCTGTGAATGTGAAGGGAATGACGTTCATATTGATTCTGCACTTTTCCTTATCACTTGCTGATCAATGCTTACACGAATGACTGGACACGCAAACACATGAGCTTCTATTAATTACTTTAGCGCCGAAGGACTCACTCACCTGCTTTCAGTCAACATGTGATGACCATAAATGCATCAAAGTCAATGAATTCCTTTGAGGATCTCCGTCTCTGTCCTATAACTTCGCTAGCAGTTAGCTTGCATTTGTCAGTTTATCTATCTGGATCCCCAATTGGGTTTTAGGTGATGAAATTAGCCATTGCTACGAGAGAGAAACAATAAAGTATATATATATATATCGGTGTGCATATGCAAATTCGCTGATATTTTACATCACGTAATGGCTAAATAGTGTATCACAAGCTCTTTTTCGTCTTCGTCACTCACAAGCTAACAACGTTAGCCTTTGCGCTGATAAGCGAAAAGTAGCCACCTAAAGTGAATATGTTAAAACACGTTTTAAATGCCTTTCTTCGCAGCGTTTTAATATCCACACATCTGAAGAACGAGATCGAACTAAAAAGCTTTTCGTGTTGAAATCCAACAAGCTAATACACGTCGTTCGCAACCATGGCCAGCCGCTGCGTTTGTGTTTACATCACACTGCGCCTGCGCGGAGACCTTTACTGACGCATTCAAGTCATATTGGAAAAATGGCATCTCCGTTTTGTGTCTTACGTTTTGGGTTTCTTTCAGAGAATAACACAAAATAGCACACAAAAACATCACTTATGGTCGTTTATCATTTTTGGCGTATTTTCTGTATTTTTCAAAAAGCATTTCATACAATGATTGATTTAGCACATTGGCGGATTGACTGGAAGGCACCATTGACTACTAATCTAATCAATTTTATACCACTTTGTCTGAACTTTTATATTGATTTAAGACGTGAAGGGCGCTGTTTAACGTTGAATTTATTAGCATTTAAGGGTGACTGAGAAAACTATATCCGAAAGATGTCGCTGTTTACAAAAGCATCCGCATGAAACGCACCCGTCGCTCTTCTACCAATTTTATTAATTTTATATAAACAATTCATCGTAATTAATACAGATTGAACTACACTTACACTACCGTAACATTTATTACCCCAATTACCCCATGGGGATGAATAAAGTTTTCTGAATCTGAATTTATAACAAATGGGGGACATTTTCAAAACAAATCTCTTTTTGACGTCATTCGAAACACGGAAGTGATCAACCAATGATCAACCATCGTGAAAATAGCAAAACAGAACCCCGCCCCTTTTTCCTATGACTCAAGCCAAAGCACGGAGGGGTGATTAAGAAGAATCCTCAGCGGCATCAGCGCACCTCGTATTATTATCATTGATTTAAAGATAGAAAATCGACAATGGGCAGTACCGACTCAAAACTGAACTTCAGGAAAGCAGTTATTCAGCTGACAACAAAAACGCAGGTTAGACGATTGTTGGAAATGTAAGCGACGAGCACATAATCAGGCAAGGCGTTCACAACACACTGTCCCCTTGTTGCATTTAACCATGTAAAATTATCATTTGGCGTTTCTTCGATTGAGAGACCGTATTCACGGAAATGGAAATACGTTACGTTACCAGCGTGATGATAATGTCATCTGCTGTCATGCAACATATTTCGACAAAATAATGGCCTGGTTAAATCAAAGTTGCACGGCGTTGACATGGATGCGGCAGGTGCATCGTGTTTACATTGTCGTCATCACTCGCCGGGCAGGCTACACAATAGATACACAGTGCACTGGCAAGCCACACCGATTTCTAGATTTCTGTTTATTTAACAATTGCTAATGTTGTTTTGCAGCCAGTGGAAGCCACGGATGATGCCTTCTGGGACCAGTTCTGGGCGGACAGCACCACCACAGTCCAGGATGTCTTTGCTCTGGTTCCAGCTGCAGAGATCCGGGCTCTACGAGAGGAGTCCCCTTCTAATTTAGCCACCCTGTGTTATAAGGTAAACACAACATGCAGATTGCTAGCTTTGCCGGACTTTTTGGAAACTGCGTCACGGATCATTGCTTCCGAACAATGTCACGGTCTCAGATGTGGAAGTCACCTCCCTCCTCCTGCTTTCTTTTCCACTTCCTGACTCCTGCCCGAGGTCGCCCCTGACAAAAATACACTTGATGCTGCAAAGAAGTGATTTGCTTATGAAGTGGCCGCAGGCGTTTATTTTCTGCGCAGCGAGTACCAGGACCTATTAGGGGTACGCTGTTTCAAGATAAAACAAAAATACAACACGATAACAGGAACGCGATTGTTTGAGCATTTCTAGCATCCAACCATCCATCCATCCTTTTTCTAATCCGCTTATCCTCATGAGGTTCGCGGGTGTGCTGAAGCCTATCTCAACTCCCTATGCAGCCCCACTGGTCCAAAAAAAATGGCATTCTGATTAATATTACATTTGTGGAATATGAGTTAAGTGGTCAAACCCAGCCGTTTGTGGCCATCTCAGCGGGCGGCCATTTTGTCATTTCTGTTGACCGAAAATGTCATCGCGGTTGCTCACAGGGCTCGGGTACCGACCACTTGTGTCTCAGCTTCAGAAAACAGCTGAGTAACATATATATTCACAAGACCGAACACTTGGGACTGGAGAAATTTTCTTTGAAATGAAGTACAGTTGTAAATAAATCATAAATGACAGCATGTTTTGTGGCACTCGTCCTACCAAAGGGCTACATAATTGTGGCCTGCATCAACCGCATCGAGCTGAACATAAGACAGACAACAAATTACACAAATGCACGAGACAATGCGGGTTTTTTTTTTTTTTGCTTTTTTTTTTAAATGACGTGACAGCAAGTCAGTGCTGCCAAACTCAGCGACTTTGACGCTATATTTAGTGAGTATTCAGATGATCTCGAGCGACTATTTTTTTTTAAAAAATGTGACTACTAACAATCTAGCGACTTTTTCTGGTGTTCTTGGAGACTTTTGGAGTCTGTGTGGTGAAAGCACGATGTTCTCAATGAGCAGCGCTGGGAGCTGTTGTGGCACCTGCCCCAAATGAAGCCGCTGCTGGTCTGATCGAGCCAGGTTTACAATCTGGGGTGGATGTAAATATAAAACTTTGTCTGAAATAAATTTAAAAAACATAAACAAATAAAAATTACAAAAGAAAAAAAAAACATCCCCCCAAGTAAATCACACGCACTGATGACATCACTGAGAGATGTTTAGGCAGGGATGAGATTTTTCCACTTTTTGGCGGAATTCCGCTTTTTTCCAGTCAAAATGGACCTATTTTATATTGTTCCAAATCCATAAAAAAATTCTGGGGGGGCAGGGGGTGTCCGGACTTGTCTTCGGCAGATTCGGGGCTCGTAATGTTTACAAGTAACGTTTGCAAGCATCCATTTTGAATCCCGCTTTTTATCGTGAAGCATTAGTTTGTCGTTACTTCGTATATGGGTGAAAACCAATGTCTTACTTGTTGTGATTGGTCGCTATATCGGCAAATCAAATATGCAGAAAAAATGTCCAGTGTTTTATTTATTCATTTTCGGCCTCTAAATTTTGTTTTCAGAGCAATTTTAATGAAAACAAACGAAAAATTGAGCGATTGCAAGTCACATCTCATTTTTGGCTGACGTATGTTGCAGGACTCGGTGGAGAACTTGCACGCCATCGACAGCTGTGAATACATCTGGGAAGCTGGAGTGGGCTTCGCGCAGTCCCCACCTCTCAACTACATCCATGATTTAAATCGGTCAGCTCGACTTCCGCTTGGTCTTTACTCTCATCTTGTTGGGTTCACTTTTGACTTATTTGTGTCCGTCGTTTGGATTTGATGCCGGTCAGCACCGAGTTGCTGAGGTTGCTGCTCACCTGCTTCTCCGAGGTCATGTACCTGCCAGCGTCCACCGACAACCACATCCTCAACCCCTGGGTGACCTTCTTCTGCTCCACTGAGAATCGGTAAACCAACGGATGCTCTGTGTGTTTGTGTGTGTGCTCTAATGCTTATATGCAAGTAGCGGGCCAAGCATAAGCTACTTGGCCCTTCACTGGCATGACTTAATCCACCTACTGTCATGTTGCGGATATAGTAGCCATAATTACATTCATTATATATCTAACAACATAGCTTAAAGACTTTAGACTATTAGACAAGGCTACGGCCTGACTAAATGAAACTCCTCCGCTGACTTCAACATGGTTCCTTGCAACCGAGATGCTGCTCCAGAAATATTTTAATATCACATATGGCTTTGGAGCACAGAAACGGCAAAAAAAGGGAGTTGTTCATGTTGTTCAATAGTGATAGCATATGCTATGCTATCACTATTGTTTAAGTTTCATTGGCCGCCACTTTTGACTGTGTTATTTCTTTCCCGCAGCCATGCTTTGCCGCTGTTCACCTCGCTGCTCAACGTGGTGAGCGCCTACGACCCGGTGGGCTACGGCATCCCGTACAACCACCTGCTCTTCTCCGACTACCGTGAGCAGCTGGTGGAGCAGGCCGTGCAGATCCTCATTGTCACCCTGGAGCATGACGGAGGGCCTTCCCACTGCCCGTCTTCTCCGTCCAGCGTGGAAGAACACGAGGTTTTGCGAACGAAGACCGCCGCCGTCTGTTTGAGTGGTGATGATTCGCTTGAATAATGATTCCCCTCTCTGTGTGTGCAGTCCACCGGCCCCGAAAACTTGTTTGTGAATTATTTGTCGAGGATTCACAGAGAGGAAGTATGGCCCGGACAATGTCAGTGAAGGTTACTTGAGGATCTTGTCCCTGAAGGTTCTGTTTGTGTTTTATCCAGGATTTTGATTTTGTACTGAAAGGATTGGCTCGTCTCCTCACCAACCCTTTGACTCAAACGTACCTGCCTAATTCCACCAAAAAGATCCAGTTTCACCAGGAGCTCCTGGTACTCTTCTGGAAGCTCTGCGACTTCAATAAGGTTCTAAGAAACATTTGTTGTATGACAACATATGACATAAAAGATGTTCATAAGGATTTGAGAGGATATGACATCATTAGGATTTTGATCTTTTCTCATTTTTTTTGCCACCATCTGCTACTTACTCCATTCAACATCGATGTGAAGCCATCCCCGCAAACAGGGCTTTATAGCCTTCAAGTAAATATTAGTTCAGTGATTGAAGAGAAGTGAACCACGCATTTCTTCGTATGGAAACGAAAGCTATTTTCAAGATGAATTCCCTTTTTCAGACACACTGGAATGATTTGAAACTAATAAATGAACATTTCATGTGAGCTGAGCAAAATTAAAAGTCACCTCCTTTTGTGTTCCCGTCCCAGAAATTCCTCTTTTTCGTCCTCAAGAGTAGCGACGTACTGGATATTCTGGTTCCAATCCTCTTCTACCTTAATGATGCCCGAGCTGACCAGTGTAAGTATTCTCATGTGTGTCCGCTCTCCCGGCATTTCCAAGTTGTCTTTGCAACATATATATATTTTTTTTTGTGTGTGTGCCTGCAGCCCGTGTGGGCCTCATGCACATCGGCGTGTTCATCCTGCTGCTGCTGAGCGGCGAGAGGAACTTCGGCGTGCGCCTGAACAAACCCTACGCCCTCCATGTGCCCATGGACATCCCGGTGTTCACGGGCACTCACGCCGACCTACTGATCGTGGTGAGAGGACCGAGCGTGTCGCCATGGAGACCAGGCGATCCTTTTCCCTACCCGTGAGAGCCAACCAGCTGTCGCTCTGTTTGTTTTTGCAGGTCTTCCATAAGATTATCACCACGGGCCACCAGCGTTTACAGCCCCTCTTTGACTGCCTGCTCACCATTGTGGTGAACGGTGATTCATTCGCCTCATTGTTATGGATTTTGGAGCCCCTTCTATCAAAATAGTTTGAAAAATTCAATTTTTTTTTTTCCCCCCTCAGTGTCACCATATCTGAAAAGTCTTTCCATGGTAGCGGCCAATAAGCTGCTCCACCTGCTGGAGGCCTTCTCCACTAGTTGGTTCCTGTTCTCTGCCGTCCAGAACCACCATCTTGTTTTTTTCCTCCTGGAGGCCTTCAACAACATCATCCAGTATCAGTTTGACGGTAAAGGGGCACCCTTATAATTGCTTTGATCATACTTTGACGTGACAACTCCAAAGGGGTTCCAAACATTTTCCACTTAAGGCCATATACAGAAAATGATCGTTTGGAGAGCATTGTGTGTCCAAATATTAACAATTTCATATTTCTTTTTCTGCAAATGTATACAGAAAGCCACATATCACTGAGCTGGTGTTCAAATCATTGCTGCCAAAGGAAGGGCACATCTTTATTTTTAGGGGCAATCAGCGAACCCTTTCTTTGACACACTGTATGTCAAATTGGCCCGAAGTGATCATGTGATCATCATCGGAACTGATCGGAGACGGCGGGAAAAGTAGAGCGGGAACCAGGAAGACATGTAGCTCGACATACATTGTCAATTTTTTCAGCGAAAAACGCCTTACTATACATGGTCATTTTTTTCGGCAAAAAACACCTTACGATACATGGTCGTTTTTTCCAGAAAAAAAAAGCCTTACTATACATGGTCGTTTTTATCATCCAAAAACGCCTTGTCATAATATGTCATTTTTTTCGGCCCAAAACGCCTGACTATACATGGTCGTTTTTTCCAGAAAAAAAAAAGCCTTACTATAGATGGTCGTTTCTTTCGGCTAAAAAGGCCTTACGATACATGGTCGTTTTTTTCATCCAAAAACACCTAATTATAATATGTCGTTTTTTTCGGCCCAAAACGCCTTAGTATAATATGTCATTTTTTTGGGCCCAAAACGCCTTACTATACATGGTCGTTTTTTTCGGCTAAAAACGCCTTATTAAACATGGTTGTATTTTTCGGCAAAAAACGCCTGACTATATACATGGTCGTTTTTTTCGGCAAAAAACGCCTTACTATACATGGTCGTTTTTTTTCATCCAAAAACGCCTTATTATAATATTTCGTTTTTTTCGGCCCAAAACGCTTTACTATACATGGTCGTTTTTTCCAGAAAAAAAAAAGCCTTACGATACATGGTCGTTTTTTTTTGTTGGCTAAAAACGCCTTACTATACATGGTCGTTTTTTTCGGCTAAAAACGCCTTACTATACATGGTCGTTTTTT